GTGTGTGTGTGTGTGTATGTGTGTCACTAAAATTACATCATATACAGTGGCCCCAAAAATGTAGACACTTTTGGCATACACAAAAATAACAGCATTAGATAGCAAAATATTAATAAAGCAAGTGCATTTGTGTATAAAAAATACTGGGCATGACACTTTCACATTTTGATATCCAATCACACAATTTCACCTAAAGTTAACCTAAAACTGAAAATTCTGTCATTGTTTACCCACCCTCACATCATTTCAAACCTGTATGCTTTTCTTTCTTCTGAAGAATAACAGAAGATATTCTGAAGAATGTTGGTAACCAAGCAATTTTGGTCATCACTGAGCTCAATTTTACAAAAATAAGACATTTCTCAAAATATATTCTTATATATGTTCCACATAAGAAAGTCACTCAGAATTGGAAATGACATGGGGAGAAATTTTGAGGTCAACTTCCAAATGCTTTGCTTTGGGCCACTGTATTTTCCAATTTTCCAAAATAATAGAGTAATACATACTTGTAGTTTTTATTAGGCACTTTTGACTCCACAAGTGGGTTGCGCATTCTAAAGATGAGAAAAGACATTAGAGATAAACCCAATACAGCTTATATTGCATTATATTATGAAATAAACCCATAATCCCAGACAATCAATCAATAAAAATCATACTTATTGTGCTTTGCAGAACCATAGCGGCGCCATGCAAATACAGCAACACAAATAATGATGACCAAGAGGAAAAACACAAGTACTCCTGCTATAACACCTGCAGAAAACAAAAAGAAACAAACACTGTCAATGCAATGTTCAACTTATATAAATAAATACAAGATTAAGCTCTATGCAGCTGAAGCCTATGGGGGTTACAATCCTTCAGAAATCATTCTTATATGCTGATTTGCTACTCAAGAAACATTCATCATTATTGTAATGGTTCTATTATTATCAGTGATGAAAACAGTTCCCCTTCAGGAACTCGAGCTGTGTCGAACGCTTTGGGAATGCCCTGGCAAAACCACGTTCTGAAGCATGTGTGAAATTAGTCCAATAGCGAAGCGACACATCACGAGCGGGGTGACGTTAGCAACCAGGAAGCATAAAGGCGCATCCGACAAGCGCACATGTTAGCTTCATTCTCTTCAGCGAGCGTGTCTGTGGTGTGTGTGTATGCAAAATCACTCAGTCAGTCAGAAATGTCTCTGTTTAGCAAGTGAGAACAATGCCAAAGTGTAAAACAAAATCAAATGTGGCGAGCGGAGGGCATTTCAAGTCGTGTGTTCCTCCCTGCCCACACTATCTTTCAGGTGGGGATACACACGATTTGTGCGTTGTCTGTTTGGTAGCGGAGCATGCACGGTCAGCTCTCGAGGGGGCTGACTGTCACGACTGTAAGCTTCTCCCACTCACATGAAAGCGGCCAGGTTCGCGATCCTGCTGGGTCCGGCCCCGTTGTTGCTGAGGCACAGCAGCGGCTGTTACTGTGGGGATTGCAAGTGGATTTAGTGGAGGGATCCGAGACGGGCTCGTCCTTATCTCGGTCCTCATCCGCTAGATCCACGGCTCCCTCTCAGAGATCGGAAGCCCGCCCCGTGGTTTCTTCCCCCCGGAGAGAGAGCCAGACGCTTCATCTATCTTCATCCTTCCTGATGTGTTGAGCGTCGACACGGAGGAGACTGTGGACTTGCCACCACAGTCTCTTGCGTATGAGGAGCTCGTGGAGGTTGTGACTCGTGCTGTAGCCAAACTGAACATCGAATGGCCAGCCGAGAAACAGGACGCTCGTCCCAAGAGAAAGCTGGACGAGCACTTCCTTAAAGCTAGATCACAGCCTTTCATTTTTCCCCAATCACCATGCTGAGGTTACGAGATAGTGGCATAAACCATATTCGTACCGACTCTTCAGCCCCACAGTATCTAACTACTCTAACATCACGGAGCTGAATGAGAAGGGATATGGGGCGATGTCGGCGGTGGAGCAGACGCTCGCGAGCTATTTCTCCCCATCCTCGGCATCATCCCTGAAGGTCCAGAAGCTTCCCACCAGGCCAGTAAAACTGACATCCAACCTGGTTGGGAAAGCTTTTACAGCGGCAGGTCAGGCTGGTGTGTGTCTGCACTAGGGATGGGCGATATGGACCTTTCTGGTATTTATTACGATAACGATATCAATGACGATAATTCAGGGAATCCTGTTTCTTTTAAGAAAAGTATTATCTTTCCTATTTTTACTGGATGTCGTGTACAGAGCACATTCAGGGCTTTTCGGAGATACTAAATGTTGGGATGTTTCACCATGACCACCCCCTCTCCTTGGTCTTCAGAAATGTCTGATATTAATATAGTGACACTCTTATGGAAATATGATAATATTTTGTAATTGTCATTTAAATCTGACTAATTTTTAAACTGTGTGTCATAAATCAACATCTCAAGAAAATGTTATGGGGTTTCAAATCAAAATATAACTTTCTGTTACGAAACAGGAGGTTGATTTCATACATGTCCTCATGAGGACACCGGGACTAAAAGCATGTTTATTACGCATTTTGGGAGACACAACAAATGAATAGGGGAAAAAAATATATTTAAATATTCCTATGAAATATGATATATTATTATGAAAATCTTGTCAATTATTACTCTCAATATTACACTTCTTTTTTCATTAAATGTTGCCCCAAAAACACATTAATATGCAAATTAGATTTAGTTTATAGATACATTATATATAATGAGAAAACCTGTTTGTGGCCATTTTACACACATTTTGCATGAAGAAAAATGGTATATCAAATCATTCTGTTATAACATAGTTGAGAATTATCTTTATACAAAGT